GTTTGAAATCCTATGACAAGGACATTTCAAAACTCACTTTAAAAAGATCTATGGCTATACTTGGGCTTGCAGACTGTTTGACAGTGTATGTATGGATTATATATCATTTGAAAAGAAGCCGTTAGAAACAGAGAATCATGCAGCTTTTTCTAAGTTGCTGCAGCTTTTGAACTTCTTCTATCTGTTGCCCTAGGTGTTTCATTAGCACTTCAACTACAGTTGTATCGCATTAACCTTTTTATAGTTTAATGCATAAATTTAAAGTAGGACATGAAAGAAGGGTTGAAGGGTGGAGAAAAGCGATTCACAAAGAGAATGAGGAGAAATGAAATGTGAATGTAAAATATAGCTATTCCTAGCAAAATCAAAAGAGAAAAGACCTACCAGAAAATCTAAATTATAATTTTTAAATACATGATGTTATAGAATGCACTGTGGATCTGGACTCAAGCACACTTTCTTCAACAGACATATTAAGTGCATAGATTTGGAGTATGAAATTTGGTAATAGATAGCATCTGAAGTGGAAAGTTTGCTATCCTTGTGCAAGACTCTTGATCTCAGGTAGGAAACAACCAGCTTTTTTAAAATTCAATACATAACTTTTGTTTTTATGTTACTATTTTTCCTTCTTCACTATACAGTCGTACCTTGGTTGTCGAACGCATTGATGATCATCCGTTTTGGCTCCCAAACGCCGCAAACCAGAAGTGAGTGTTCCGGTTTGGAACATTCTTTGGAACCCGAACATCTGACATGGCTTCTGCAGCTTCTGATTGTGCAGGAAGCTCCTGCAGCCAATCGGAAGCCATGCCTTGGTTTCCGAACATTTTTGGAAGTCGAATTCCGTTTGAGAACAAAGGTACGACTGTATGGTGGAAGTTATTTATAAAGAATCTAAAACCATGAGGTGTTGAACAAGGATTAAAAAGCAATACACACTCAATTTAGGACTCAGCTATTATAGCTGCAAATAAAACATTTTAACTGTGTTGTAAAGCGCATTATACAAATGTGGCACTAGATGGCAATGGTGAGCTATGGCAAATTAAATATATATTTTTTCAAAATGTTTTTTAAATAATAATAATAATTTTATTTATACTCCGCCCTCCCCAGCCAGGGCCGGGCTCAGGGCTACTAACGCCAAATATAAATTACAATAAAATGTAATAGAAAAAAATAAAAAAGAAAGAAAAGGGGGGAAATAAAAAAACAGTTGTATTGCTGTATTGATTTGTTAATCATAGAATATGACTTCTGCTGTAATTCTGATCTTTAGCTTTTTTGGCTTGCTGCTTTGTTAATAGTGTTTTATGGATTGTAATTGTTTTACTGATGAATTGTTATTATTTTATATGATATATGTTGTACTTGTGATGCACTGTATCATGTTGCTTTTATTTATTGTTTGCAAGCCACTTTGGGATTCTTTTGAATGAAAAGGGGCATAGAAATACAATAAATCAATCAAAATGCTCTTTAAAAGTAGGGTGTATATGCAGTTGATTAGTGAAGATGCAATTTTTTTTTGGAAAGCAGAGTTCTTTAAATTAAGAACTACCAGTTCCTGTTAGTGTAGGACAACTGCATACAAACATAATTCCAATGTCTTTGATGGGATTATATTTAAATTACATCTTAAATAGATGCATTTTTCTAACTGTCCTTTATCAAACTATATCAAGTTCAGTACAAACAGTTTGCATTTATCAGTACTGTATTTTCAAAGAGAAACCTGAAGTTTCAGAAATTATTAAAGATGCATCAGGCTTTATTATTCAAAACATGGATGCAGAGACTGCGCTCTACCTTGAGACATAAGTTTGGATGCTCATAAAACAAGCCAAACAATTAATCCCTTCACCAAGGGATGACATGAAACCTCAACCAGGGTAGCTTCAAACACCATTAAAGGCTGTCTTTGTGCTCATTAGCACCATTGGGACAGCATTTTGTGTTGGAGGCTTTAGGTTTTACCAATTCAGCTCCAAAGAAAGTTGTTACCAGCTTGTATTCTGCAGTTCACAGGCTCTCAAAAAGAACACATTAAAACAGTTAGAATCCCCAGGGCAAATGGAGGAGATTAAGTAGCCTTCTCTTGCAACAGAATCCTGAGCAGACAAAGCTTGGTATTGTGTATTCAACACACTATCTCTTTCTAGCACTGAACTTTACTATTGTCCTTACAGATTCTAGTTTACAAAGTGTTTGGGGGCTTTGCGTAATGGTTCACTGGCACCACCATTGACATCCATCTGAGTGTGGGAACTTTCTGAACAGGACATAGTGCCTTCCCAAGCAGCTTGACTATTATATCAAATCTTTTTCTTGGAACTTCACCTTTTTAAAAAATAAAAATAAATGCAAGATTCTATCCTTTTCATCTAAATAAATCTTATTACTTACTCTGTTTCAATGAATATGCTATAAATGCTATAAGTATATGAGCATATTTCAGACTGATTCAATTTTTTGTGATATTGAGTTAAACGCTTGCAAGAATTTCCATTAAAAACGAGCCACTGTTTCAACTGAAAACCCTCTCTTTGTATTTCAAGCACCTTTTTGTTTCTTTGAAGCAATCATATTTTCTGCTGAAGTGCTTCTCATTTTTGCATCTGTTAACTAAAAAAAAAATACTTTTCAAACTGTAGAATATGAATTTGGCAAGGAATGAAATACAATACTTTATAAAAGCACAGACATTCCTATAGCATCAGGGACTGAGTGAGTCTTGTGTACTCTTCGTCAAACTGTACATAATCTATCAGAAACATTCTAGGATAATTGATTGGTTGTAGTACTTTTGGGGGGGGGGTCACTGGGTGGCTGCTGTTTATACTGTGTCCTTGGGGAGGGAAGGATGATGCAACCCCTATTGCAATGATCATGGGTGGAGGGAGACATTGCCATGGGGAGGTGATAAATAATCACTGAAGGGCAGAGTGAGGCTATTTACACTTTGTTCCTTGCTCCTACACAACTTATTATTATTATTAGTAGTAGTATTATTATTTATACCCTATCCATCTGGCTGGGCTTCCCTAGCCACTCTGGGCAGCTTCCAACACAATATTAAAATTCAGTAATACATCAAACATTGAAAGCTTCCCTAAACAGGGAAGTTCCTTGAATATCTGAGTACCTGGTTGCTTGTCTGCTGTGCCCACCAGCCTGGGTGTACTGTTGTCCTATTGCTTAATGCCAGAATGGTGCATAAAAAGAGTTCATATGAGTTGATCATGGATGAGGGTGCTATTCTGATTTGTATTACTGGGAAGGGTTTATCTAACACAGGTATTCTGCCCAGCACATTTGGTGCTATGCAAAGGTTAGATGGGGTGGGTAGAAGCTGTGATCCAGTGGATTTCCATGTCCATTACCAGGAAACACCCTTGTCTTGAAACTGGCTATGAAGACCTGCACCTATTATTGGGCCAAGGAGACAGTAATCTTGGGTTGCTGCTGGCATACCATCCACCCTGCTGCCCAGCAGCTTCTCTGACTGATCTAGCAAAGGAAGTATCAAGTATAGCGTTGGAGGAATCCAGAACGATAGTGCCTCTTGTGTTCTGGCTCAGGACTTCATGGTCTCCATGAGACCCATGGGGCTGTCTGTCACTGATATGATGGAAAGGGCAGGGGATTTCAGGAGGATATCACAACATAGCACTTGTTTCTGTTTCCTTACCTGATCACTTCCATGTTTTATGTGGTTTTTCACGCAACATAAAAACCACTTCTGGAATTCTAGCAGAAGTTTAGCACTCATGTCTGTGTTAATTGCTTCCAACAAAAATCCATTTGCAATGCCATTGACCCATAAAATCACAGGAGTTGTGCGCTGTAATTTTTCCACCAGTTTTATGAATCACCGCATATGATGAAATTTGGCATGGTATCCCAGCATACAGTTATTTCCTGCCATTTTCATAGGTGAATCATGGGGGAACAGAAGCAAGTATTAAGTTCTGCAGAGAGTGGTTATTCTTCAATTTAAAGAAATTCTGTTATCCAGAAGATCTAATAAGAAATAAATAAATATCATTTGCAAGCATATTGTCATTAATGAAGTTTTTGTCAAATATGCAATGCTCCAAATTTTTGATGGTAATAATTACTAGCTTTCCTGCCTATTCAAAGCAGTGAGAACAAAAGTCAAACCATTGTTTAAGGCTGTTATGTGCATTCGTTTAAAAAATGGCACATGGTTCTTTATTTATTTGATATCATCCACTCCTAAGGGCAAATCTCTTCCACTTATGTTAAAAGGTTGTCTGCCTCTATCCAAATTTTATTTACAGGTGTGGGTTTTTTGTTAGCGGAACCTTGCAACATTTTCCAATTTCTAGAGGGGTTTCTTCACAAGGTCTTCATACAGTTCTCTCCTTTTAGAGTACTGTACTCTGAACTAGCATTCCACTCTGCTCATGTGACAAGTGTTACCCTTGAGAGTTGCAACAATATTTTAAAAAAAAACAAAAAACATAGCTTATCTCTTGTTTTATTTTTCTTCATCATGTCCCCTGAAATATCATGTAGGGGGAACATAGTGACTCTGCCAAATGGAATTTCATCGACATGGAATTTCTGCACAAAAGAAGATAGTTTGTCAAAGCAGTTTTTAAAATATCAGTTATTTAAACTGATATTTAAACTCTGTACCTGTAAGAGTTTGTAAATGGACAATGTGTTTGCTCTGAAGAAACATAAATTAGGCAACCATAACAATGATGGTTTAGCCAGCCTATCCAAGCTGTTTCTGAGGTGTTGGTACTGTCACATGATGACAACTTCTAGGAGCCATAAGTGAGAGCTGAGTGCAGGGTGAGGACCAAAGGTGGACAAACTACCCCAGAAGGCACAATATATGTCCCACATCAGAGATACATACTACCACTCCTAACACCCCACATAATTCATAGAATCATAGAATTGTAGGTTGGAAGGGACCACAAGGATCATCTAGTCAATCCCTCTGCAATGCAAAAATATTTTACCCAACATGGTGCTTGAACTCACAGCCCTGAGATTAAGAGTCTCATGTTCTACTGACTGAGCTATCTGGTGAGAGAATATAATATTATATTTATTAGTAGCTTTTTTCAGAAAAGTGAAACTCAAAGCAACTTACCAAAATGAACATTAAAAAACAAGGATATAACAACCTAAACACATACACAAGTAATTAAAAAAAACCCCAACAGATCTAACATCACCACAAATAGATAAGCAGAAAATTAAGATGTATTCCCCTGCAACTTACTACAAAATACCTTTTGTACTCAACACCCCCAAACAGCCACCATTCTGTCTTCTAGTAAAGTGGGTGATTGTTAATTGTTAGTCCTATATGTCCTGAAATCTTTTGAAAATGTAGCTTCTCCTCCTCCTCCACATCTACTTACTCTGATAACTGCAAAAGACTTTATACACCCCTCTCTTTTCAACAGCTGCTTCTAGAATTATCCAGGGATCATTGTTTTGTGGCCAAGACACTGCTTAAATAAGCAAAACATCAATTAACTACAGAAGCACTAAAATCCAAGGCCCTTCATAACTGAAACAGCCAATCAGCTGCAAAACTTGAATCTGCATTTAGAGTCGGATCACAGTGTTTCTGACATCCCTCATTCCTGTCTGGTTAGTGTTTAAATTCTATGGGTAGGATTTTCTATAATGAGTGCAACACATAAAACCTCTCTGGTTCACAATAAGGTCATGTAAATCTTTCTTTCAACTCTAATTTATGGGAGTTTCCCATCTATATATTTTTTGTTTTCATAATCTTCCAGGGAAGACCAACTATAACATGAATATGAGCTCATTAGTGAATTTCTACTGGAGCTTAGAGGCTTACCAACAAGCATTTCAGTTAGATTAGAAACTGGGATAGATAAATATATCAGGCTATGCTACGATGAATAATTATAGGACTTCAAGTTATGGAGGATTTTTTTCTCCACCTAAAAATATATATGAAGTAGTAACTAAATATGAGCATAGATTCAAATGGCACCATGTGCAGCATATAGCCTCCTTCAGTCATACAGAAATAATGAGGTGACATTGTAGCCACTATTTCTTTGGATGGTCTTAAATCCCAACCAATAGGTGTCATAATTTTATGAAAATTTGTAGAAGAAGAAGAACAAAGAGAAATGCCCATTTCTATTTTGCTGAATTAAATATACTTTAGTGTGGTTCTTATTTGTAAGTAACTATGAACTGATGTGAGTTCACAGTATTTACTATAGATCTAGCAGGATCAACAATTTGAGCTATAGTTTGCAAAATGTTCTAAATCAACTATGACACAGTGCCCATCAAGACTTAAGAATCCCTTCCTGGTCTATATATCTTCTTAATTTCTCAAAAGAAGTTATAGAAGTGAGTCTTTCTTCATGTGAGGGAGTTCATGTGAGGGATCTGACTGTAGACATGTATTCAGCTACTGGTAGCAAAAATGAATCTAAATCACTTTGTTTAGAATTTGATACTACAAAGGACAAATTATACTTCCTTGTAGCTCTAAAAGACTAAAAGATTATGTCTTATGCCAAGATCCTGTAAAACAAACAGATTCCTAATTCAGTGCTAGGCTTGAACCACAACTCAGACCAGCTGGATCTTTTGCAGCATAGACCCTGGTGGAACAATGTGAGGAAATGCTGGTAATATTGGTCCCAAGTACTCCCAGCAGAAGGATCTCACCAACAGCTATTCAAGCCACTAGTTAAAAGCTGAATGTCAAGAGTCATTCTGGTTATCCTTCAGCACAACTTACTCTTCTATATGCTTGGTAATTCTATCTTCAATAATGCTTTCCACCATTTTCCACTCTCTCGCCCTGACCTAGCCACTGTGATCCACGCGACGGTCACCTCCAGACTGGATTATTGTAACTCGCTCTACGTGGGGCTGCCCTTGAGACTGACCCAGAAACTCCAGTGGGTGCAGAATGCCGCAGCGAGACTCCTTACAGGGTCTTCGCTGCGAGATCACATTCATCCGGTGCTATACCAGCTGCACTGGCTCCCGGTGGAGTACAGGATCAGGTTTAAGGTGCTGGTTTTAACCTTCAAAGCCCTATATGGCCTAGGACCCTCGTACCTACGGGACCGCCTCTCCTGGTATGCCCCACAAAGGAACTTACGGTCTTCAAATAAAAACATCTTGAAGGTCCCAGGCGGAAGAGAGGTTAGGCTGGCCTCAACTAGAGCCAGGGCTTTTTCGGCTGCGGCTCCAACCTGGTGGAACGCTCTGTCACAAGAGACCCGGCCCCTGCCGGACTTGCCATCTTTCCACCGGCGCCTGCAAGACAAATCTGTTCCACCAGGCCTTTGGTCAGGGCGCAGCCTGACTCCCTCCTTTGGCAATCTTTACAAAACTTTAGTTTATGGTTGCCATCAATTTTGATTTTAATTAATTTTTATAATGTTTTTATAATGTTGCACTATTTTAGTGTTGTTAGCCGCCCTGAGCCCGGCTTTGGCTGGGGAGGGGCAGGATATAAACAAAATTTATTATTATTATTATTATTATTATTATTATTATAATTATTATTATTATTATTATTTTTAGAACAGACATGAAGACGGTGGCTTCCAATTTTCTGTATTTCCACTGGTTCCTTTGTTTGATTTAACTGTGTTACATGTATGGAGGGTGAACTTAGAGACACATTATAATTTTTGTTAGAATGCAGTTCCATATTTGAGTTCTTTAAGAACTCTAAAGTGGATGCCATCTGAGCCTGGTGATTTCCCCATTTTAAAAAATTGCTAATAAGGCCTAGAATGTGGCATCTTCTCACTGGTATCTACTTCCATTCCTCAGACTTCTTTCCTGAGATAGATTGTTCAGGTAGAGGAATCTGCCCCATATCTTATGCTGTTAGGGCAGATGCAAAGATTTGCTTCAGCTTATTTGCAATCTCCTTAACCTCCTTTTAAAGGTAAAGGGACCCCTGACCATTAGGTCCAGTTGCGGACGACTCTGGGGTTGCAGCGCTCATCTCACTTTATTAGCTGAGGGAGTCGGAATACAGCTTCCAGGCCATGTGGCCAGCATGACTAAGCCGCTTCTGGTGAATCAGAGCAGTGCACAGAAACATTTACCTTCCTGCCGGAGCGTTACCTATTTATCTACTTGCACTTTGACGTGCTTTCGAACTGCTAGGTTGGCAGGAGCAAGGACCGAGCAACGGGGATTTGAATCGCCTACCTTCTGATTGGCAAGCCCTAGGCTCTATGGTTTAACCCACAGCGCCACCCGCGTTCTCCTTTATGACACCTTTAATTCCCTTGTTATCCAAAGCTCCAACCACTTTCCTAGCTGGTTTCCTGCTACTAACGTATTTAAAGAATGTTTTTGTTGTTGGCTTTGATGTTTGCATCTATGTGTTCATCAAATTGTTCTGTATATCTTATAATGCTATGATCCTCATAGTTTAGCAGTAATTTTGAAAGAGCAGTCTGAAGTGAAAAAGTATTTTTTTAATCTTTGCTCCAGTGGCTCTAACATGTGTTATGGTGCAATTTTAACAAACCTGCATGTTCAGCATTTATATATCAGCATTTTCTTTATTTAGGAATGAAGAAAACATAACACTGATTTAGAGGATAACCTACTGAAATTAATGGGATGGAAAATTAATGGGACCACCACTAGCCAAAGCCATGGCTTCTGTTACTGAGCTTCAGTTTGAGTTAAAAAATCAACAGAAGGGAGTTCTGCCCCTACTCTGTGTGTAGTCTGTGGGTGTACACACACATTGGGAGCAAGGGATAGCTCACAGATTCCTGACTTAACTATTCCTGTTCCCTAAAGTACTTTAGTCAAAGTAGGTAGTTCTTTTGCTGAATGGGGGAATAAACACAAGCCCCATCTTGTGCATATTACTTTGGTTTACCTTATTAATTAATAATTGACCCTTTTGTTTTCCTGTTTGTCAGTAAGTCGTTTTGTACATATATTTCTGTACATAAAGTTTGTTATTGACGCAGCTTATTAGCCTAAATCTACTATAATGACGTGGAAACATAAACAATAGTTAATCTGCTTTGCATTCCAAGAAAGGATTCCCTTTAGGCCTTAGAGTTCAATATGACATAGCTCAGAGAAACTGGAATTAGAACAGAATCAAACATCTTATGATATCACACTGTTCTTCTAGGTTTTACCAGCTATTTATTTTCTTCTTGGAATTAAACTGCTGAGATTGATCATTTTCTTGGTTCTGTAATGACCTGTTTTAGTAAGCAAAATACACCCCCCCACCCAAAAAAAGTTCACTGAGATCTGCAGATCATTTCTGTGAATGAGAACAGTAAATTCCTGTCACCCGAGGCTTTAAACCTTCCGGGACTAGGTATTCTGCTTGAAATTGAGTTGTTAGTGCCGTTTCTTTAGTTTGTGTGATTTATACTTTGTACTCCATTAGGCTGCATACCAGAGAACCTTTAATTACGTGTTTCATGAAAATATTTGATGTACTGTGCTCATTTCACTTTACTGAGCCTTGCTGAGCTCTGTGTGATAATGTTCTCTGTAAGTGGGGTGAATATTTTATCATTCCAATCTTCGCTAGGACAAACCAAAAACACAGCTTTGCTGAAAAATAATAAAATAGAAAAGCAAGTGTAGTATCTTGGCCTTATTGCGTTGCTATGTGCTGTGAAGTTGTGCCAAAAAGCTAACTGCCTGTCATCTTATGGTTATATACTGTGTGATGTTTTATATTAGCTTTGTTCAATTCCTAACTCTTAAAGTTATCATGGCAATGAACAATATATTAAAACACTGATTATTAGCTACTTGCTTACTCCTTGCAATGGATCCCTTTACCATGTTGAGTAGCATCTGTCATATGGTGTCCTATAAGAAATACCGTATTTTTTGCACCATAACACTCACTTTTTCCCTCCTAGACAGTCAGGGGAAATGTCTGTGCGTGTTATGGAGCGAATGCCTGCGGGTGGCGGGGGGGATCTGCTGCAGTCGTGAGCAGAGGATCCATGGTTCCCCTTCCTTCCCTCCTCCGTGGTTACAAAGCATGGATCCACAT